TTAATTTCACCCCTCTATACCTAAACCGATTAACTAAAATAACCATTTGATTGGTAAAAATATTTGATGCCAAAAAGTATACAACAGTTTAGAACCAGTCGATGATGAGGAACTGATTGAAAAGGAATGCATATTTCTTCTCTTAATCTGTTGTTTTTCCTGGGTCTTTTTTTAAACAGTTATTCTAATTTCCTATCGGTATGCGGTGAGATACTAGATCGGCCTACTTACTGTCTAACAAGAATTCGTTAATCATCATTCCATTACGGTTGGTGTCAACAAAACGATTACCACACTACAGTAAATAGTTGTATTGAGTAATTCTTCAGCGCTAAATTACGGGTTGCTGAACATGTTCCGAATAAAGTCAGATTTTCACATCGTGCAAGTTGTTTTCAACCTCAGCCATTGTTTTCTCTTGTCTCATTCATCATTTGAATACCTTCGTGTGTCAAAGCACTGAATTACATAGTTGAGAATGTATCACTGGTGGATTAACGTGCTAATGTACAGAAAGAATAAATGAGCCATTTTGGTCAATTTTAAGCTGTATATCTGAAACTTGGATATTCTCTAGGGCAACATAAACTGAACCTGAAGGTTTTGTAATACAAACTGACAATCAAAACTGTTATAGAATAATCATGTCACAGCTTGGTTTTGTCATTATTTTCGTTTCATTCTCAATAATAATAATAATAATGGCTGCATTCTGGACAGTGTTCATATTATGAACAGAATTTTTAGCGGAGTTTATTGCATCATCTTATCTCTCTCAAATAAAATATTAGTTTTCAAGTTCGACCATAGATTGATATCATTTAGTCAACCATTAAAAACCAGCTACAGGAAGTGCTGGGAAGCAGTTTCGTCCTTATCGAAGGTACGCAGTCACTGGGTTTTGAACCCAAGACTTCCAGGTTACAAAGGCAAGCTCTTAGACCATTAGGCCATTAAGACTGGAATTCTAACTTATACCATTTCATGATTTTTAGTCGGAGCACCAGCTACTGTCATAGGACAGCATTTGTTCTCAACTCTTGAAAAACTTTGACTGACAGTAGATCGTGTAATAAAAAGCCTGTCTGACCTAAATCACAATTAATCTATTTTGATATCTCATAATTCTACCGAGAAATGCACGAAATTTGGTTGAATGCCCAGTATAACTTAAGAACAGCTATTTCATGTAATGGATATACTGCAACCAGCGATCAGGCCTTTCTCAAGTTTAATAGAGAATAGCAAGTAATCAGGTATAAACATTTAAAATCCAGACAAGAGTAAAGAATACCATTAGAAGTTATATTCCATAAGACTAAAACAAAGCCAACATGAGAGATGGAAGTTTTTGGCAGACCAAGTTTTAAGCAGGCGGCTTTTACTGAATGACTTATTATTCCCAAGTAATTATGCTTGTTGATGCCTATCAGTTCCTGTGCTTTCTGAATTGTTCTTAAAATTAATGCTTTGGTGACTGTGCATTATGAGCTGAGATAAACGAGCTGCACAGAATGACTGCAGTTAGAGAAATACAGTATTTAGAGTCAAGAAATTAAAATTCTCACCAAATGACTACAATTGCAGTAGTGGCAAAAACAAATGAATGAATCCCGTTGAGTTCTTTGGAGAAATCATGAGGACGTTATACAACTGACTAACTTTATGTGGCAGAGTTTTGACTGATAGTCTTTAATACCGAGGTGAAGCCATGATAGAAGGAGATACTCCACATATTTTTCTCGTGAACACAGGTCCGGTTTAAATTTGATCATTGGACAAGGCCGCCAACGATTTTATAAATTTTAAAACGAAAAATCAACAGCTGATTCGCGTGAATTCTATAAATCATCTCAAAATCACTGTCAGGTTTAAGTAAGTGAAGAAAGTCGACAAATTTTTGTAGAATAAAACTCCACATACTATCATGTCAAAATATATTCTCGTGTGCTCAGTGAAAGTATTTCCTGGTCACTACCGATGTATTTGGCTACATAAGAGCAGACGAACTCATAAATGAACATACAGGCAGCCAATTGAAGAAGCTTACGTTTTACACAGGCGTAGAACAACTTTCAGTTGGTGTAGGCCAAATGGAGTTATGTGTCAAATGAACACCCTAATTACTCATCTGGAAATACGATTAAGGCGCCAAGGCTACCACTGAGCGTAAATGAGGCGGCAGAAGAGTAACAGTGCAAAAGGACTTAACACGAGATGGGAGGAAATGAACAGTTGGAATCTAAAGATTCGTGAATTCAGTTGGTGAGTAAATCTACAGCGGAATCTGTCGTATTCTCAGAAACCCAAGTTGAGAGTATTAAATCATACTAATGTGAAATATGTAAATATTTCCCAATGCGTTTGACTCGTTTGGGATGTATTTTTATTTATCCTAGAAGATTCCTATTACTGAATTATTTTCAAAGTGGCTTGATCAAAAGATTTCGTGTTTATGAACTCCATAAATTAACGCAACAATGATATATCCAAATTTAAGGTAATATTATTTTCAATGTGGATTTCCTTGGCAGACCGACAGCCGTCAGAGATCACTTCGTATCAGGGCGCTCTTGACATCTGTTCCCTCCTAGTATGGGACTCTTTAGCAGTTTAAACCTACGATTTACAACTAGGGATCGGCCCTGAGACCTTCAAGGCATAACACTATATTATAAATTGACAGAGGTCATAATACACGGGTAATTGATTTCCGACCTGAAGGCATCCGATGCTATCCCTGGTGGGAATGTGGATATACACTTCTGAAGAGTCCAAGACTAGGATGAAACAGTTCTCCAGTCCTCCTTGTTTTTCAAAAATTCTTTAAATGATGTTGGTTTGTGATGAAACCCACAGTGAAGTCAATTCAGATCCCCCAACAAGACACCTATAATGTAAGCATCAATATTATTTGTTCAATAAAGACCAGTGGTGGAATATCAGTTATTGTGTTTCTTTCCCTCCTAGAGAGATTCGGAGGCTGAATGCATTTAACTTCTTGATGTTTGATAGTGCTTCTATGATTACTGGAAGTGAAAAATAGCCATGTTTTTCATCCCTGGCCTATCTAGATAAAGTACATTGTTTCTACAGTTTCCACTGCTAGGTTCTACGTTCGAGTCTGGAGAAACAAATAGGAGAAAACTAGTCAGGATTTGGATCAGGCAGAGGGTTTACTGATAATATTATTCACCCTTTGAAAGATTCCGGAACACAGGCATATTTATGGGGATCCACCAAGTGCCTTATCTTCTGACCTAAAGGTGAAACCCAGCTTCTTTGACTGAGAGTAACAGTGATAGTATATGGCAGTGAAGGGAGTCACGAGAAAGTACATGGAACTAATCAATGCAACCCTCTCGAACTCACACAGCCTTGTGAGAGCTTAAGAAGAGTTGTCATTTGAAGTGATGACAACCAGTGCTGTCCGTAAGAGGGGTATGTTCACTGTCCCTTTTTGCGTTTAATTTTATCATTAAGATACTGATGAAATTGGCTCTATTTGAATTCAGCGATTAAGCGATCTGCTTGTCACCCGGGTATGGTCTTGTCGGCTTTGAATGTGTGGATAATGTAGTCCTCCCTCCTAGCTGAAGGGGCCGATAAAATACAGAGCCTTCTGAACACACCATAAGTAGTAGAAATCCTCAAGTGTGTTAGCATGCGATTCACTCCTGTCAAATGCAAGTAAGATGATACCACATGACTGGATTACATTGAATCCTAGCTTAAATATAGGGAGTGAAGTAGTAGGACGTGTTGACCATTTCAATCACTTGGGGAGTTGCATCAGCCCTAACAGGCTGATCGCTGACGAAATCTCCGTACGGATGCAGAATCCTCGTTCGGAATTTGCCGAGGTACTCCATCGATGACATGGACACTTTATCCAACTGGGTATCGATAAAAGGAAGTGTATACCACTAAGCAGTTCGTTTTATCCTCCCTAATGGCTGTGAGACAAGGCCATTGAGAGTAGGAGACATGAAAAGGCTAGCTGTCTTTGATTACAGGTCCTTGCATTCTGTTTCCCTAGTTACTTTGTATAAAAGGGTGAATACTATTGAAGTTAGGCTTCGAGTGTTAAGGAAGGAGGGAGACTCTATCGATGATGTTGCTAAGATAGATCAGTCGAGATGGCTAGAACATGCGTTACTCATGTCTGTCCATTGCCATCCTCTACGTGAAGTGTTAGCTGACATAGGATTAGGTTGACAAAGTGCTAGAGGCTTCATCAATCAATGAAATCTTAGGCAGTCAATTTAATCCAGCCATGTAGGGAGGTGTAGATTGCCGTCTGGTTGGGGTCCTAGGGATGATAAAAACCAATGAAGTTAGGAGACAATTGATTATATGACTTTAGATTATTCTCTATGGTGGCGCAGATACATTCACTATCTATGATCTGTCATATCCATTAAACGACATTATTTTATTCCCCCGCACATTTCTGATATTAGTTCTTTTGAGTTTATATTTTTTTATCCAGCTTTATGCGCTACCTCGAATGTGGCAAGTCGCATTACTGTACTTCTTTGTAAAGTTCAATGCTGAAAACTGATCAATCAGTTAGTCAGGTTAAAGTCTCATCAAAAAATCATCATCTTGAGGTTAATACATTCCACAGAGAATCGACAAAGTGTCTCACTTTTAACCATAATCAAACAAAGTACATATTCACACAAAATTCTAATGATTATTAATGCCTCAATCAACGCCAATAGAATGTTACTACACGAAAGGAAAAAGTAAGTTTACACCCCCAGAAACTGTTGATATCATTCTATCCCATCCCCCCGAAATCACATATTCCTTTTCTTTATCTCCCTTTTCCGCATTTTATTTCAGTATGTCTTCATAAAAGCCGACAATACTGTAACTACGTCATAACATTGGCACAAATAAATTAATCAAGACAGTATTACCCTCTATTTGTCTGTCTGCCTGTCAGATGTAAACATAAATATATACCTAAGGAGAAGAAAAGTGCGTATCATCACTATTATTATTATTATTATTATAGTAGTAGTAATAATAGTAGTATAATTGTTTTTATTGTTATCATCACTATTTATTATATGTACACATTAGACTGCATTGGATAAGAAAAGAGGGAAGATAGATATTCATACACATGGTTTCCTTTCAATCCCTTCTCCCCTTGGGGGGGGAGGAGGTTCTTTGTGTCTACATTCACCATCCTGTTATGATCAAAATGGTGAAACTTATTATATCGTGAATCAATTAATTAATTAATCAATCAGTTAGTTAATTAATTAATCAATCAATTAATTAATGAATTATTAAATTAACTAATAGTGAAAAGCATAAAATGAAAAGAATACCAAAAAGGAGAAATTTAAGAAAGACAATGTAACGCATAAATTCGGCAACCTATAAATAATTTCAATGAATATAAAAGAAAGGCGAGAGAAACAGACAGAGGGAGGGAAGGAGAGGCGGTGAGAGTAAAAGGGTTACAACTGAAGACTGGCAACAATATCTCACATAATTCTGCGTATAAGAGTGCCTCTGTGTGTGTGTGTGTGTGTGCGAGCCTCGTTGATAAGATCTGGTGGAGGTTATAAATAGCCAAGATAAAAGTGTAATCCAACGTCAGAGGGAGAAAGATAGATAGATAGATAGGTAGGTAGATAAGAAGAGGAAAGCGGAAATGCTTTACACATGGACAGTCTTGTCAAGCGAATGTGTTAAATACTCCATGGACTCAATATTTTGTTTGTCTGTGTGTGTGTGTAGTTCCATTGAAAGTTGAGTAAAAAAAGAAAGAATGAAAGGAAAGAGCCATATTTGAAAAAAAATGGGGAAACGGCGGGTGGAACAAAAAGAAACTGTACTGTTATTACTTATCTTGTATTGATTAGAGTTTGGCGGAGAGTTGAAAAAGAAAAGGAATAATTAAACGTTATTTGACTACTATATTTTTTGTGGTAGAATAATCAGCATTTGTTTTTTTATAGATAAACCGCCATTATTGGTTTGTTTGTTTGTTTTTGCTTTTGTTTTTTTAATACGATGAAGATTAGGCAAACGATGAAGAGAGTGGGGGATCACTATCGATTATTCAGGCATCCTTATGATCCTCATCACACATGGTCCCATTTGGGTACAAAAAAAATATTTTTATCAGATATAAATAGCTCAATGATATTGTAATGTGTTGAATAGTTCTCATTCTCTGATATTTCATGATTACACCCCTTTCCAGAGTTAGAAGTAACAACAGAATTAGCGATAGTGATATAGATAATATAACAGTAATCGTTTAAAGCAGTAATAGTTACAGGTGGATTTAGTTAGCTAAATCTCTCCACCTGTTCAAAATGCTTCTATGTCTGTGTGTATAATAACACAAAGGACCGGATGATATGTGGTCATGCTGTGAAAAGGAAGAGAATGGGTCAAGGTACAAAGGTCAGTGTATGTGTATATGAGTGTAAGTGTAGCAACTTACTAAATGGTTGGGTTGGGGGGCGACAGTTCGTTTGTGATTAAGGTTCAGAAAAAATGTAAAAAAAAGCGAAAACAGATAAATACACGGGAATTCATTGTCTTCCCCTTCTGTCGTTCACTCAGCCTCTTCGTGAATGCGTTGTAAAGAAAATCTGAAGAAAATTAAATAAAAAAAAGACGACAAAAGAGCAAAAGCAAACAAACTATTGCTTCTTCTGTATTCATTCATTGTCATTCTAATTCACTGAGAAGACTAGATCGATTCACCAGACCTGATGAACTTCGTAATGTGCTTTGATTAATGTCAAGTGTTCTAGGCACATCGTAAACATGACTACCAGTCACAGAATACGGTGATCCTGGAGCAACTAACCAATTAGCTATGTGTGGTTGTGTGTTTGTCAGGAAGGGAGATAATGCAGCCGCAGCAGCTGCTGCTGCCGCTGCCGAATTATCATTTGCTAGAAGATTTCTAAGTTTATTCTGTTGAATAAGTGGTGTTGATGTGAGAAGAGCTAAACTCTGTTGTAGATCCTCGGTGCCAGAGCCAGACGATGAAGCTGGAGCAGGAGGTGGAGGTGGTGGGGGAGGCAATGGAAGGGGTAAACAACCATTAACACCAGTCACCGATAAATATTGATTTGTTAGATTTGCATGTTGTGCCATTTGTGGCGATGAGAAGGTATTATGACTGCCTAGGGTTGATAAAACCATTTGTGGATATGGATTAGGATGTGTTCGCATAAAGCTGAAACCATTTTCATTGATTCCACTTTGTACTGTCATATCATTCAATTTTGTTGGAGTGATATTTGATTCAGAGATATTGGTTTCACTTTTTAACACCTTCGCAGAATGATAAACACCTTTAGAATCATTGACACCGATTGAACTACAACTTGAAGTTAAACGGAATAGTGTATGCCGTCTACACATTCGTAGGCATTTAGCACCGATGAGCAGAAATATTAATGTTGTCAAAAATGTACAAATGACAGCGACAGCCATTTCTAATAAAGTGAATTGTTTTTGATATAAGTAGTGTGGTTGTTCAAATAGAATTTCATTTCTTATACTCTCGTCTGGCTGTTTACCAGTCATCTTTGTCAGATAGTTTTGATTCAGACCGCTGTCATGTTTAGCTGACCAAGTGATGTTATTCAACGTTGGCGAGGATTTTATCTCTGGACCTTTCAGGGTGACAATCACTTCTTCTGTCTCTTTCTTATCATCCCATGTAGCACATGTATACCTTCGTGGTTTAGTATCCAATGAAATATTCAGTTGAACAGTTGCTGATGGATGGTTTTCACTTGAATTATACTGGAAGAGATAATTCCGATCCCCGGTCGAATCGGTCTGACTTTCTGTAGTTAATCGTCTCACCTCTCTTAACTGGCCACCTTCAACATACCGCCAAGCTACACCTGGTGGTGTATGACTTAATATTCCGACAGAAGTCATTGAATCCATATTATTCATGCTAAGATGATTTGATCGCTTAGGTACAGTGACTGCAGTACACGAGATTAAAGCACGACTTGCATCTTCGAGGACATTGATGAATATCTGTTGGATACGTGATGTTGGACAAAGTTGATCGGCGGTTAGCTTTGCAATTTCAAAGACCATTTTTCCTTTACCTGATCTTTCTGACCTAGTATAATGAATACATGTCATATTCAACCCAGGTAGACTATCTCTCCAATCAATACTTCTTTGAGCAATCCATGATAAACGACAATTACACTCTAATGGATTCCCAGTTAAATCAAGCAGTCGATTCGGTGTATCAAAATATCTTTCAAAACCATCATCAATATATGCTATACGATTATCTGATAAGATTAAACGTTCAAGACCTGGTACTTTACCAAATATTTCATATTGAACCGATTGAATACGATTACCACGTAAATTAATTTGACTTGCTGATAAACCATGAAATGAATCTTCTGTAATCAACATTCCTGACTCTGGTAATGAATGTTGTTCACGTAGATATAAATTCGTCAATTGTAATCCATAAAATGTATACGATTCTAATCGGATAATTGAATTATGCGACAAATCTAAATGTTTTAATTCAGTCATTTTAATAAATGTTCTAGGTTCAATAACTTGTAGATTACAATAAATAATGCGTAAATACTCCAACTTTTCTAATCCAGTCATATTAGCTTCATTTATAAAATTTGGTATTGGAAAATCACTTTGTTGGATGAATAATTTTGTTACACCATTCGGGATATTTGTCGGTACACCGTGTAGATGATCTTGTCTATCACAGTGGACAACACCTTCACCTTTAGGACAATGACATCGGCTATCGCATAGTCCTGGTTGAATGTATTGAGCATTGAAATAATTCAATGATAATATAAGGTAAGTAAATATAGTGGTCAGTTTAAAATGGAACGATAGGTTTCTCTCGTGTGATGTTAACATTTCAAGTTATTTTTGGTATTATTATGATTATTGACAGGATTCCTATTTGTGATCCTTCTTCTCTTGCCTCAGGTTTATTGATTGGGTTTCTTGTTCATTTTCAAAAGGATTCTAGGGTTTTCAAAAAAATAAATAAAGAAAATAAATGGTAAATATTTAGAAATTTAATCAAGAAAAATAAAAATAAACATTTATTATATTTTTCCCGCTAAAATCACGAGTGTGTGTATAAGTTGGTATAGTAAAACAAATTTGCCGCGCTTGTGTTTTAGTGCGCTTGAATGAGTTTACCGGAGGCGGTCATTTACGATTTAAATTTTATTAGGTAGTTAACTGGTTTCATGGGAGTTTGTTTTATGTGCTTAGAGGAATGCTATGTCAAGGGTGTCTTATCAACTTTATTTTTTTTTGCAAATCTGGCATATATCTCGTGGCTTTTGCTATACGTTGCGCAGAAAACACCCTGCAATAGCTGTCATCCTTACCCTTACATAACAACATGACTGTTTTAAATATCGAACGTTTAGAAGAAAAATAGGCTGGTTATACTAAATGGTTGAAAATCAATGTTTTGCGCTAGTGTCTCGAGAATAAGTGATTATTTGGACCTGAATCAAAGACACTAAACGCATTCATTTTAGATTTCTGAACGGTTACTCTGTTAGTTATATTTTCTTAAAATTCCTGTAAGTCGACTAAATACAACTCAGTATGATTCTGGTGTGAAATAAATGGACGACGTCAACCCCTAACTTAGCGATAGGGAGTGAAGTGATAGAACATGTTGACCACTTCACCTACTTGGGAAGTTGTATTAGCACCAACGGACTGATTGGCGATGAAATCTCAGCACGGATCCGAAAAGCTCGAGCTGCTTTCGCTGACTTACACCATCTCTGGCGTAGGCGTGACATCCGGTTATCAACCAAGGGACGTGTGTACTGCTCATCAGTTCGCTCCGTCCTTCTCTATGGCTCTGAAACATGGCCAATACGCGTTGAAGACATGAAAAGGTTGACTGCTTTCGATCATAGGTGTCTGCGATCTCTGTCTCACGTTAGGTGGTTTCACAAGATAAGTAATGTTGACGTTAGGCGTAGAGTGTTGGGCAAAGAGGGAAAATCAATCGACGAGGTTATAAAGTTACATAGACTAAGATGGCTAGGTCACGTGGTGCGCATGCCTAACCACCGCCTCCCCCGACGGGCATTGTTAGCTGATATAGGTTCAGGTTGGGAAAGAGCCAGTGGTGGCCAAACAAAAACATGGCCTCATCAATCCATGAAATCCTTGACAGTTAAACTGAGTCAGGTAGGGAGATGCAGACTCCCGGGTTGGGGCCCTCGGGACTCTAGGAATCAATGGCTGGAGACAATAGGTGACATGGCTCAAAGTGATCGTTGTCAATGGCCAGCGCAGATGTATTCAATCTCTGTAATCTTTCATATTCCTTTCTACCATTACCCATTCTGTTTCACTCTTATATTTGTCAAACTCTATTAATTCTCTTCACTCATCTTCTTGTCTACCTCTGTGTGCTATTTGGAACGTGGCAACTCGAACTGCTGCACTTCGGTGCCAAGTTCTATGTTGAATCCAGACAGACAGACAGAAATAAATGGATCAGTGAACCAAAGAGGGCAGGAATACGCTGGACGGTTCCAAAACCTCTAGGAAATCTTGACTTCGTGGATGATTTAAGTTACATGTCAAAACATACTTGAAGGTCTATAGGCGAGAATCAACAAGTTGTCAGATGAAGCATCCAAAGAAGACAGGATTTCAGATGAATATAGAGAACTATAACAAGCAACAATCATGAGAAACGGAAGAAGCCTGAAAGAGGTTACTTCCCCCACTTATCTAAGAGGCATCGCTACAACCATAGACAGCTAGGACAGGCCATAACCATTCTGAGGCGTAAACAACAAAATTTGAACCTATAACATCAGCGTTTAGTCAGTCAGCTACCTTTTCCAACAGCAGCTTTCAGCGGCTGCATAATGAAGACAAGATGGGCAGCCGGAAAGAGTAAACAATAACCAAGTCTTGGAACAAATCAATCAAGAACCTATTGCTCAACCAATAATCAGAAGAAAATGGAGTTGGATCGGATACACGCTTAGAAGACGGTTGGGTGATATCGCGCACCAGATCATTGGTCGAGTGGAACGTGAATGAGAAACGACAAGATGAGCGTGTTTCCAAGGATGACATAAAAGAAATCATAAGTGGAAGGACGGATAAAAGAGCTAATAGGCATTCATGCAATCTGATGAAGGGAACCTCCAAGAACAGGATGGAATGCGATTCAATTTCACCTGTAGAAATCCCACCCAGTAGTCCCCTTTAACACCCATCAGAGATGAATGAACGAGTCTGCATCCGTCAATGAATGATTTCTTCCTGGTGAAACTCGCGCCCAGCTCCAGTCGTTTTAAATGTCGCGGCGTCATTCCTTAAACTAATAAGGCATCTCTTACATAATAGGTTTCAGAGGTCTTTATTTTCTAATTTTATGCTGATTGACTTCATTCTCAAAGCGACAAAACCAGGTGCGGACATGTGACGCAGCCTGGCTATTCCTGATACCATAAAACGCGAAATTCAAAATAAAAACAACCGTTCAATACATTCTGATGTTCAGTAGTAATCTTTGCATTATGAAGACTGAATTTTTGACAGATTTAAACATAGTTAAGACCTGCATCGAATTAATTATTGAGAGGAAAATGGGTAATAGGCAAATAGGCAAACATAAAATTTGCACAGGGGTATACACGATTTGTCCAGTAGCTAACTAAATTTATTTTTGCTATTACTTCGAGACACTTAAGTAAAATTGAAGCAATGACCGACTTTAAAAAAAGTATGTTTATGAATAAAGTAGTACTAATAATAAATATTTAAGTAGACAACATTCAACCAGTCAATCAGTCAGTCGGCTAGTCGGTGTTTGCATATGCATGAATACATGAATATATATATATATATATATATATATATATATATGCACCGTATTAGTAACGCGTGCTTGAATATTCTTCCGCATGAATTCATATTGACTGGAGAGTTAGTTGTCTTAGAATTTTCTCCGCATAGACGAACTCATTTACCCTAACTTTTAAGTCTGGCAGAAACAGAATCAATATGTGGGGGAAAGCCGTGGGTTGGGGCTGGGAAAAAGAACTTCACGGGTAAAAAAAAAGAAGAAATAAATCGACATCAAATCGTAAATAGGGTAAAGGAAATATGTCTCAGTCTACTTGATTAACAATTTTGATTCAGTTTTCATAACCCCGCTGATTGAATGGGCTGAAATATTTGACCTCTATCGACATGTCTGCTCCCTCTGTGGACACTTCGATGATGTCTAAGGATGAACTTGAAGTTATTTAGTGGATGGTGGCTAACTAACACTGGAGTCCACCAGGACTTCCATTTCGTCCTTTTTGGGACTCTTCAGGTGCACGTACCTGATTTATCCAGTGAATGAGTGAGGTTGTTCCCACTGCAGCCTTGAACCAGTAACCTCTGCGTTTGAACACCATCACTCACTGGGGAATTTAGGTACATCCACGTGATGAGTTCCAAATAGGACAGAATGGAAATCCTGAATCCCCTAAGAAATGGGTCGTTTGAAACCCTACTCCAATTAAACTTTGATATTTTAATTTTGATCATTTTTCCTGTAGACCTTCGCACCAATTTACCGATTTCAACTCCAGTAATATTTATTCACTTATAATTTTTACATAATAATGCAGCTATTCTTCGTCTCACAGCGCCGTCATACAGCGATCACCTACCTATAGGCTTTGCCAGTGAGCATTATTCCCAAGTTCTTGAGTGATGTTCATCGTAGTGCATATGTTCAAGCCACCAAACTTTGTTAACGGGAGAAAGTATTTTCGATTGCATACTAGTCAGTAACTAGTATAATATGTCTAGTCCTATCTATTCGGTGCAGACTGAATTCTATCAGTCAAGCTTGCCATGTGATCATCAATGCCACTAGGTGGTTCGTCATTACGGTGCACAGTGAAATGTTAGTATTAGATGGTTGAAGGCAATCGGTCACAGGAAGCCCTGTTTGACCTAGGTTTCGTGCTAGTTAGCACTCATCAACATTATCATCTCTGACTGCAGCACTGAGTGACGTGGGTTCGAACCTCAGAAAGGACATGAGTTCCTTCAAGATTGCAGATACGCCTTGCTGGCTGGTGAGTGCCAAATAGCACGAAACCTAGGTCAAACAGGGCTTCCTCTGGCCGACTGCGTCCAACCATCTAATACCAACATTTCACAGGGAGAAAGTATTCTAGGTCTTCTTATATGTATATACGCATATTATTGACACCAAATAATAAATATGAGACTAAGTCGTGACACCTATTTATCAGTTGGAATGAAAAACCTGAAAATATGTCCACCCCCATAGTCATGTTGTGAAGGTTTTACACATTGGGTAAACACGCACTTTCATGTAAACATGTTGAGATTTGTGTTTTTTGCTTAATTCATTCCCAGTCACAGACTAACAAATAAATAAATATTTACTATAAACGGTTTTATTATGACTTTTTATCACGTTAAGAGCAAATGAACCATTTAAGAAATGCAAACGTCAGTAAGTAAGCTACCATGTTCCATTTGAACATATATATATATATATATATATATATATATGTATATATATATGTATGAATGAGTGCTTTAACTGGAGTTCAGCTGAAAGTATGCTTTATGAGTCTAGGATAAGGGTAGGAGGATAACAGGACATATATACGTATATACATAAATTTCCCATAAATTTACAAGTTGATTTGATTTCACCTATATATAGTTTTTATTACCATCTTTTAACCATCTCCCCACCCGCTCCGATTAACTTAATGAATAGTGATCATATACACAATAAAGATTTATTTATACAACGGATCACATGAACAGAAAAGACACTATAAAACACTAAAGTAAGTAGGTTTTTTCACAGACAACTTTTACTAAAACATGGAATCAAATTAAACGCAAAATTTATATATCTGAAGGTTAATCAGCATTTTATGATTTCATGAGACTAAAATAAAATTTCAAAGAAAAACTGTTGT